CATAGTCAATAAAACACAGGTAAACATCTTTCTGGTATTCTCTGCTTTCAGCCAGGATCCATCTGACATCAGCAATGATATCCCTTGTTCTACTTCCTCTTCTGAATCCAGCTTCAATTTCTGGCATTTCCCTGTCAATGTCCTCTACAGCCGCTTTTGAATGATGTTCAGCAAAATTTTACTTGTGTGTGATATTAATGATACTGTTCAATAATTTCCTCATTAGGTTGAATCACCTTTCTTTGGAATGGGCATAAATATGGACCTCTTCAGTTGGCTGGCCAGGTAGCTGTCTTCCAAATTTCTTGGTATAGATAAGTGAGCACTTGCAGCACTGCATCCGTTTGTTGAAACATCTCAACTGATACTCCATCAATTCCTGGAGCTTTGTTTTTTGCCAATGCCTTCGGTACAGACTGGACCTTTTCCTTCAGTGCCATCAGTTCCTGATCATATGCTACCTCCTGAAATGGTTGAACGTCACCAATTCTTTTCAGTACGGTGATCCTGTGTATTCCTTCCATCTTCTTTTGATGCTTCCTGCATCATTTAATATTTTCCCCATAGAATCCTTCAGTATTGCAACTCGAAGCTTGAATTTTTTCTTCAGTTCTTTCAGCTTGAGAAATGCCAAGTGTGTTCCTTCCTTTTGATTTTCTAATTCCAGGTCTTTGCACATGTCATTATAATACTTTACTTTGTCTTCTCAAGCCGCCCTTTGAAATCTTCTGTTCAGCTCTTTTACTTCATCAATTCTTCTGTTTGCTTTAGCTACTTGAAGTTCAAGAGCAAGTTTCAGAGTCTCTTCTGACATCCATTTTGGTCTTTTTTTTCTTTCCTGTCCTTTTAATGACTGCTTGCTTTCTTCATGTATGATGTCCTTGATGTCATTCCACCACAACTCGTCTGGTCTTCAGTCAGTGTTCAACATGTCAAATCTATTCTTGAGAATGGTCTCTAAATTCACGTGGGATATATTCAAGGTCATACTTTAGCTCTGGTGGACTTCTTCTAACTTCCTTCAGCTTCAACTTGAACTTGAATAGGAGCAATTGATGGTCTGTTCCAGTCAGCCCTTAGCCTTGTTCTGACTGATGATATTGAGCTTTTCCATCATCTCTTTCCACAGATGTAGTCAATTTGATTCCTGTGTATTCCATCTGGCGAGGTCCACGTGTGTAATCGCTGTTTATGTTGGTGAAAAAAGGTATTTGCAACGAAATCATTGGCCTTGCAAAATTCTATCATGCAATCTCTGGCATTATTTCTATCACCAAGGCCATATTTTCCAACTACCAACCTTTCTTTGTTTCCAACTTTCACATTTCAATCACCAGTAATTATCAGTGCTTCCTGATTGCATGTTTAATCAATTTCAGACTGCAGAAGCTGGTAAAAATCTTCAACTTCTTCATCTTTGGCCTTAGTAGTTGGTGCATAAATTTGAATAATAATCGTATTAACTGGTCTTCCTTGTAGGTGTATGGACATTATCCTATTACTGACAGCATTATACTTCAGGATAGATCTTGAAATGTTCTTTTTGATTATGAATGCAATGCCATTCCTTTTCAAGTTGACATTCCCAGCATAGTTGACTATATAACTGTCCAATTCAAAATGGCAAGTGTCAGTCCATTTCAGCTCACTAATGACTAGGAGGATATCAATGTTTATGCGTTCCATTTCATTTTTGACTATTTCCAATTTTCCTAGATTCGTACTTTGTACATTCCACGTTCTGATTATTAATGGATATTTGCAGCTGTTTCTTCTCATTTTGAGTTGTGCCACATCAGCAATGAAGGTCCTGAAAGCTTGACTCCATGCACGTTATTAAAGTCAACTCTACTTTGAGGAGGCAGCTCTTCCCCAGTCGTCTTTTGAGTGCCTTCCAATCTGAGGGGCTCATCTTCCGGTACTATCCCAGACAATGTTCCACTGCTATTCATAAAGTTCTCACTTCCTAGTCTGTCTGCGTCTGGAAGCCCAACTGAAAACTGTCCACCATGAGTGACCCTGCTGGTATTTGAACACCAGCATCATAGCA